CCAGATAGATTTCCAGAGTGGTTGTACCAGTTTACATTCCCATCAGCAGAGGAGGGTTCCCCTTTCTCCACAACTTCTCCAGCATGTGTTGTCCCTTGAGTTTTTCATCTTGGCCATTCTGATGGGTGTAAGGTTAAATCTCAGGGTCGTTTTGATTTGCATTTCCCTGATGGCTAATGAGGTTGAGCATTTCTTTAAGTGTTCCTCTGCCATTCGATATTCCTCTGTCGAGAATTCTCTGTTTAGCTCTGTTCCCCATCTTTTAAGTGGATTACTTGGTTTGCTGCTTTTCAGCTTCTTTAGTTCTTTGTATATATTGGATATTAGTCCTCTGTCAGATAAAGGGTTAGTGAAGATTCTTTCCCAATCTGTAGGCGGTCATTTTGCTTTGATGACGGTGTCCTTTGCTTTACAGAAGCTTTTCAGTTTCATGAGGTCCCATTTATTGATTGTTGCTCTTAGAGCCTATGCTGTTGGTGTTCTGTTCAGAAAGTTGTCTCCTGTGCCAATGAGTTCTAGGCTGTTCCCTACTTTTTCTTCTAACAGATTTAGAGTATCTGGTTTTATGTTGAGGTCTTCGATCCACTTGGACTTTAGTTTTGTGCAGGGTGATAAATATGGATCTATTTTCATTTTTCTGCATGTAGACATCTAGGTGGACCAGCACCATTTGTTGAAGATGCTGTCTTTTTTCCATTGAATGGTTTTGGCTTCTTTGTCAAAAATTGAGTATTCATAGGTGTGTGGGTTTATTCTTATAAAAGTATCACGGAAGAATCTTAAGAAATGTAAGTTCTTGGATCCCATCCTATGCTTTAGTCTGAACCTCTGGAAATTGAGTGTAGCAGTTTGAGACTTTTAAAATAGCTTTCTCTCATTGTGGTGGTGCTGTGAAAAGGATTGACAGCAGAACATTTGAAGGGAAGACAGAGGATTTCACGGTATCTGACTTAACAGTCATCTGCTCTGCCAGCATGTTATCTCCAATTAGTATGCAAGAAATTATGACATCTAATAGCAAAGATGTCCGAGTCCCAGTTTGTCCAAGACAGTCAAATCTCAACAACAGTTAAACCTGCAACCAAACCAAATCAACACCAACAAAGCAAACAACAACAAAACTATTTTTATTTGGTTCTACAGTTCATTTTCTAATTCACGAAAAGCTGCCAGTTATTTGTTATTTGTTATTCGTTAACTACTAAATCCAAGGCAACAAATCCAGTCAAGTGCAAGTAGCAAGCTGTGTGCCTTTTTCCCTGATGGACCTCCTAAATGTACTTGGTTCTCTATTAGAGGAACAAGTCTTTTACTACTTTCTCAATTTTGGATGCAAACTCGAACCACCTAAAGGTATGTTTAAGGACAGAAATTATACTGGAACAGTGAGCATCAGGGTAGGACAAAGGTTTTCTGGCTAATGAGTTCACAAGAGAAGCTGGGGAGTGAGTCCTGCTCCTCCTTTTAGCAGGGCCAAAGCCTGACAGAACCATAAGAGCATCAGAGATCTAAATCTCTAGGCATGGGATCAAGGAAGTCTACCAGGAGAAGTCTTTGTGCACTTCTGAAAACTAGGCCTAGTAAATTGGCTCTAAAGGCCACTGCGACAGTTAACAGCTCTTATGATACTAATCAGCCCTAAGAAGTCCACCTGAAGCAAAGTCAGTAGGGTTCAATTTGGTTGCACTCTGGGTGTTCTGTGACAGACCTTCCCCCTTCCCCATCTTATGAGCACTCCTCCCAATTCTCCCTACCCTGTTGAGGGGGTTTTCATAGACATACTATAGTAAACCTAGGGCCTGGAAGTGGTAAAAACTTGGAAACTTTACACTGAAAAGCAAGGCATATCTCTGCTCTATGTAAATAATGTTTGGCGACAGGAAAAAAAAAAATCACTGAAAGATTTTTTTTTTTTTTAGGACTTCCATTCCATTTCAGACAGGCTTAGAAGGAAGAGCTTGCTGAAGCTGAAATCCAAAGGTTCGGATTAAATAAAAAAGAAAACATCAAATTAGTAGAGACATAACTGCTTTAAAATTTGTCTCTAACTTTTTGAAGAAATTCAAGAAATAGGAGGCAAGACTAGGGTGATTGTAACTAATCAACAATGACTAAAGAAGTGTGCTGAACAGGTGTAGCCCATAGCAGTTCAGTGTCCAAGTGGGTTACATAGTAATGGGAAGAGGGACTGCCTCTGACATAATCTGATTGGCCTGCTCGTTGATCACTTCCCCTTGAGGGGGGAGCAGCCTTATCAGGCCACAGTAGAGGACAATACAGCCACTTTTGATGAGAACTGATAGATTAAGATCAGAAAGAAGAGGAGAACCTCCCCTATCAGTGGACTTGGGGAGTGGCATGCATGCAGAAAGGGGAGGGAGGGCGGGATCGGGAGGGGAGGAGGGAGGGGCTTATGGGGGGATACAAAATGAATAAAGTGTAATTAATAAAAAATTAAAAAATATTAAAAAAATAAATATTTATGAGTTTACCTATAAAAAAAGTGTTTTTGAAATCACAAATATTTCTATTGTCAATTTCACATAACAAATGTGAATATTACAAATTATTTTAAAAAAATAAAACAATGTGGATTTTGTAAAAAAAAGAAGTGTGCTGAAGATTATGTGGTAAGAATCAACAAGATGAGAGAGATACCAATTACTAAAGGTCTCAAATGAGATTAGCCAAAGGAAAAGGGAGGTCACTACCCTGGAGAAGGAGGACTCTTCAGTAGGAGACTGAACAAGCCATTTTCTGATAAGCTTAATTTTCTGTTAAAATTATGTTAATAGAATTTTGTCAAAAGTTCAGGCAGCGTACACTACCACAAAGATGGCTCAGCAATAATTTATTACTCTTGCACAGTACCTGGGTTTAGCTCCCAGTACCCACATGGTAAGTAAGAAACACCAGCACCTCTAGTTCCAGGGAATCAGACATCCTGTGATTTCTCCTGGCACCAAGCAACACAGTGCAAATGGGTACATGCAGGCAAAACAATCACATAAAAATGAATACATCTTAAAATCACTGACAGCTCTTTTTGTCTCTGGCTGCTCAACAGCTACCACCAGGCATGACACAGCACCGCTCTTAGATGTTCATGTCTGACCCTGTGCTTCAGAGGAAACAGACTGTCACTGTTCCTGCACCCTGGGAATCACAACAGATACCAACTCTGCATTTGGATCCCGAAGCCATTTTGGTGGTGCCAAGACCACCAAAATCTTCAGCAAGATTTATGATTCTTTCGATTATGCAAAGAATTACTTTAAACACAGGCTCGAAAGAAATGACCTTTAAGACAGAGAGGGTGCCAAAAAACAGGGAAAGGAACACAAAACCAGAATGGTGGTCAGGGGCTGCCAAAGGCCTACGTCATGCTGGCAAGAAGCGAAAGTAGAGATTCTGCCATGACCTGATCTGCTGCAATGGTTAAAATTCTGAGGACTAATAAACTGCAAAACCTTAAAGTCCTCTGAAAAATGAATGTATGCGTTGCAAACACACAACTTCATGTAGGAGGGCCCAGACTCACTCTAAAACGTCTCTAAAGGGAGCTGACACTCGTTACAACCTATCTTTAAACTACGTTTTGCAAAAATGTTTAACTGTTTTCCTTATGATAGTTTTCCCGTGTAAACTGTCAATGAAGGAGACAGCATTTAGGTTGGTGGGAAGAGTCCTACGTAGGACTTTGAGACACTCCACTGAAACTATGTTGGCCACCCAGAGATAAACATGTCAACATTCAAGGTGGTCATAGATACTACCTAGAGGCTTTCGAGAGAACCTTTACTTAAGTGGCAAGCTCCTCATCTTCTTTGACCCAGAAAGTCAGAGTTTGAAACCCCAAATTTTAATTATGTAATGCTTTTAATGGAAACTGCAGCCTCATTTGTAAAGCGACTTGCTTAAGGACAGTGTGCTAATTCTCCATCTAGTTTATGGGAAAAAAGGAAGTGGGCATACCTCAGACAAGCACAGTACCCAGTATCATTTATTTCCTTTGCCACGAAACTTTACACTCAACGTTTTTGGCAGCAAACACCAAAATTGCCTAAGCTGGGTTTCCTGCGTAGCTTTCTAAGTTGTATATAGCCTTACAAAATAAACAAACCAACCAACCGTGTGCCAAACACATTCTTCTACTTTTGGTCGCGAGCCTACATTTTAACGGCTGAGCCATCTCTACAATCCTAACACACGTTCTTTACGCAGAAGAATTACGCAACCGGACACCAGATTGTGAGGTTTTCCCCCATTTCCCTGATGTTGAAAATATACATTTATCTTTATCCCCTAACACTAAGTACAGTCGTAGGCATATGGTATGTGAGAGAAACACGTAAACACTTTTGCCTGAACTTATTGATGAGAATGTGAAATGAAAAGTGTAAAACTACGTAATTCCGGGGAAGAAGCCCGAGGAAAACCTGAGATATTTAGTCCAAGGGTTCGTATGACACCATCTGGCCCTTTCTAGGCTGGGATGACTGGCCAATGCTCTCGGTTTCTGATGGTTCCTGCGCCACGCGGCAGAGTGCTGAGATGTGTAAAGATACGCCGGGGGGCGGGGGTGTGAGTGGGGGGGCTGAACACGGCAGCTGCGGCCAGCGATCTAGAGTTGGAGGGTTTATGCGACAAGGCCAAACAGGTGCGGGGTCGTGGCCTGGTGATTTCCGACGCTTTCCGGTTAAAGGCCCACTTCGGTGCGCCCAGAACGCCGGGATGGGCCTGTCCCTCTCGAGGTGGGAGCCACCCACCGAGCCGCCCGCCAAGCGGCTGACGGAAACGCCACCCTCCGGGCATCGTTTGTAGACTCTGGCCTCGAGGGTCACGTAAGGGGCCGCCGTCCCGCCCGACCGGTGCGCGCCTCTGCCCCCGCCGCGCCGCCACACTGCGCGACGCAATCCCCCGGGAACCCCGGTCGCGGCCGGAAGTGCGTCACTACCGTGGGCCGGGCGCGCGGCGCGGACCGCGGGGCCAGGCCTGGCTGAGGCTGGAGGGCGGGGAGGCCTAGCTCTGGGACTCGGGGACCCATACGCGAATGTCGAGAGGACTGAGGGCGGAGGACTGCAGCGGGATCGAGAGAAGCCCGGAGCCAGCGGACGCAAAACGAAGGCCGCCCTCTGCCGTGCGGTCACTTCCGGCCTCCGGGGACGCTTAAAGGGGTAGCGGGTATCTCTGAAGCCCCGGGGCACCCCCAGGCCGCGGTTTCGCCGCTGGTGCCCAGGCTTCTGTGAGTTTTAATATTTCGGGAGCACGTGCTTTAGCCTTGACTTTCCATCTGTTCGGTCCGAGTGCGCATAGCTATAAGGGAGACGCTCCGCTGAAGCCCTCTCTGACCGAAAGCTCCCTGGATCCCACAGCAGCACCGGAATACCGGCCGTTCACAGAGTTACCCCGCTGATCGCTAGGCACTTTGCATTATCTCCCTCAGTCGTCTCTGGTTTTCCGTATTGATCCGACTCCAAAGACTATACAAATGCATTGAGGCTGCAAAGTCGGTGGAACAAGGGCAGAATGCTTCTGCCTGCCGGGTCATTCGGGATGAATTTACACTTGGTTGAGTCCCGCTCACAGCCGCCAGTGGCAGTTGCATTCGACCTAAAGACACGTGTTCCTTTCACCAATATAAGCGTGGGCAGCGTTCACCTGGAGGGGCTCTTATCTACTGACCCTACTATTCGAAGTGTAAATTCATTTCAGGTGTTGGAGTTTTCAGGAATTTGATTGCATAGAAATGGAAGCATGATACTGTCTAGGAATAGCTTTACTTAAAAAAAAAAAAAAAAAAAAAGCTGATCCTGTGGACTATCACATGACTTGACTATCCAAGGTAAAAAAGTGAATAGACAGTTGCATGGGGAGGACTAAGAAACATAAAGGAACCGTGATGTCTCTTACATTTTGCTTTCCAAAGCTTTAAAAAAATTATGTGTGTGAGTGTCTTGCCTGAATGTATGTCTGTTCACGGTATACTGGAGCAGCCAGAGCTCTTAGCCCCCATCCATCCCTCCAGCCCCTGAAGAATATATATATACTTTTGAGAGAGAGAGTGTGTGTATATTTGACTTTTGAGAGAGAACAGTTTTTAGTAGAAGTTTTTGTCATTTGCATGTAGAAAAATTAAATTCCAGCTTCAGTTTCTTTCTTTAGTATTTTACAAGGGAGCCTATTCATATGTGTAAAGCATGTTTTCTTGAATCTACAAGTCATAAATTGGGATAAGATAGTCTGAAAGCACAGTTGCAACTTAGATGTACTTTGATGGCAATCATTTAAAATATCTGAATGGTGAGGACAAGTAAAGTCACACATTCACAAGGGACTCTTGGAATGCAGGGAGTATGGGGCAAAGTTTAGACAGACTTGTCTTCCATTTTTTTAGATTATGGTCATTTTCTTTGCTCTGGGAAAGGATAATGTTATTACTTTCAGTTTTTATTCTTCCAAAAAAGAAAAAGCAATCACTGAGTATAATTTATGTAACTTATTTGGAGTAACGGGTCAAGAAGTCACTTGCATTTGAAAGTCGAGAGTTTTATTTTGTCTTCAGTTTGAAATAAAAGGTTGTGAAACCCATGTAAGTCAGGCACATGCTCCGAACACCGAGGGTAGTAGTGTCCTTGTGCAGTCTGTTGCAATATCATTTATTGTAAAATAAGTATTTTAAAACCATGTGGCCACGTAGAGAATAGATGCTCAATAAATGCATATTTGAAGTAATAAACCGTAATGCAAATAACCAAACACTCATCAATCTATGACTTATATTAAGTTCTAGATTGTTGAATATATGTTACTCCCTATTGCATCTTCTTGAAGTTAACCACTAACCAGATGTTTGCATTATTTTAATCCATGGATTTTAAAAAGTATGACCTCACTTATATTTTCAAGTTTTTTAAAAAGTTATTCATATACGTGTGTCTGTGTGAAATGGATGTGCCTGTGTGAGTGCAGGTACCTGTGGAGGCCAGAAGAGAAAGATCTATCTTCTGGAGCTTGAGTTAAATTGGTTGGGAGCCACCCAGTGTGGGTACTGGGAACTCAACTGCATCCTCTCCATCCTATATCTATTTCTTTTAAAAAGTATAGTTTATTTGGATGTGGTGGCGCACGCCTTTAATTCCAGCACCCAGGGAGGCAGAGGCAGGGGGATCTCTGTGAGCCAAGGCTACACAGAGAAACCCTGTCTCAAAAAGCCAAAAGTAAATGAGTAAATAAATAAACTGTGTGTGTGTGTGTGTGTGTGTGTGTGTGTGTGTGTGTGTGTGTGTTTTGAGACGGGGTTTCTGTTTGTAGCCTTGTCTGCCCTGGACTTGCTTGTAGACCAGGCTGGCCTCAAACGTTACAGCGGTCCGCCTGCCTCTCCTCCCTGAGTGCTGGGATTAGAGTGTGCACCACCATGCCCTGCTACATTATAGTCTTAACTGTAGTATTATATTCAACTCTAATAGTACAGCTGTTACACATTTTTAACTTTATGTTTAATAGTGTGTGTATTGGAGAATGTACTTGTGAGTGCAGGCACCTGTGGAGACCAGAAAAAGGCATCAGATTCCCTGAAGCTGGAGTTGCAGGGTGCTGGGAACAGCACTCTGTTTCTATCTTTTGGATATTATGAATAGTACTACTGTAAACTGTGCACATATACATATTGTAGTACCTGTTTCAACTATTTGGGGAATGAAAGGGGGGAAATTGCTTGGTTTTGAAAAGTTTACATTTGAATTCTTGAATGACAAGCCTTTTCCATATTCATCAACATAAAACTTTTTGTTTATTTACATCCTCTCTGACACTTACTTTACATTAAGAAAAGAACACATTATTTTAGTAGATTGCACATATGGAGAGACTATTGTGCTTTTTATTGTATGCATTTGGTTGATTGTTTTGCCTGTGTGTATGTGTACATTACTTGTGTGCCTGATGCTACAGAGATCGTGAAGGGCATTGGGTCCCCTGGAACTGGAGTTGCAAATTATGAACTACATGTGGGTGCTGGGAACTGAACTGGTAGCCTCAAAAAGAGCGAGTGTACTTAAGCCTGTGCCAGGTCTCCACGCCCATCAGTTATGATTATGTTGGGTGCACAGAGGTTTAAGAATGTGCTATAAACTGTTTTGTTGTCTATACATTGGATGTCATGAATTTAGACTCCTTTACCAGTCTAACCAGGAAAGTTTGCTCTTGTGTTGGTCTCTAAGAGTTACATTCTTGTGATTCTTATTGTTAGATTGTTGGCCCATTGTGATTTTTGTGTGACGTGAGGGAGGAATCAACCATCATTCTTCCATGTAGACATCTGGTTCTATCATGTTTTTTGTTTTTTTTTTTTTTAAAGGATGCTTTTCTCTGCTGATGATCCTGACACACTTGTCAAAATCAGCTGGCCACAGATGAAGGGATTTGCTTCTGGACCCTTAATCCTGCTCAGTTGATCTGTGTATCAGCATGTCAGAAATGACCTGTTCTTATTACTGTAACTTTGTAAGTTAGGAAGTGTTATTTTACTCTTTAAAAAATACTGTTTTGGCTCATTGGGGCACTTAAATTTCCACATCCCATTGAGGATGGACTTGGAATTGTTCATAGAAGGCTGTTGGATCTTTGGTTACTGCATTAATCTGTAGGTAATCCTGAAAAGCCCCCTGACATTGTTAAGACTCCTCATCCACAGCAATCTACTAAGACCTTTGTGTTCTTTCCGTGCTGTTTGATAGCTTATGGTGTCCTTGGTTAAAGTTTATTTTTAAAAACTTTGTTGTTATCAAAAATTTTGTTTTTTTGGATCTTATTGCAAATGAATTTTCCACTTAATTTCTTTTTCAGATTGTTCATTGCTGGTATATAAAAATACAATTGACTTTTTCCTGTTGACCTAATAGCCTACAACTTAGCCAATTAACATAGTAGGTAGAGGTGTGTGTGTGTGTGTGTGTGATATTACTTATGAATTTTCAATAAACCATCTGTAAATACAGATGCTTTACTCTTATTGTTGGGCTATATGACTTTTTATATTTTCTGCCTAAATTCTCTGTCTAGAGCTAGTACTAGAAATGGAAAAGGCATGGTTTATTTTTGATTTTTGAGTGAATGTTTTATTGTTCTATCAGTAAATATGATAGTGTCTTTTTTCATCCCAAAGAAATTTCTGTCCATTCCTAGGTTATTAAGGGTTCTTTTTAAAATCATGAAAAAGTTGAATTTTGTTAAATGCTTTTTCTGCGTCAACTGAGATGATCACAATTTCCCCCTTACTCTGTTGAAGTAGAATACGGTACTGATTTGCATGCCAATCCACTTTTGTATCCCTAGATAAATCCCACTTGGTCATGTTGTATCATCATGGTGTGCAAGCATTTCTAGTATACTTTTACAATCCTTTTTATTTCTGCAAGATATTAAGTATGAGTCAGGAGAGGTGGCTCATCAGTGAAGTGTGTTTGCTGCTCTAGCAGAAGGCCCAAGTTCAGAGCCCAGCACCTATGTCAGGCAGCATACAGCTGCTTGTAACTCTAGCTCTAGGGAAGCTGAAGCCTCTGGCCTTTGTGGACACCTGTTTTCATGCACATGTGGACACACAGTTGAAAATAATAAAGATAAATTGGAAGATATTTGGCAAAGTCTCATTGTTATTTTAAAGAAAGAAAATATCCCAGTTATTTGATTTTTACCAGACAAGACTCAGGAGCCAGATGTTGAGGTGAAAGCCTACTAGCTTGGAGAGGCAGAGAAAGCACCCAGCTGGCCTTCCTATTCAGCCTGTGTCCCAGAAGGACGAAGGAAAAAGCACACAACTGTTTTTTTTTTTTTTTTCTCCGTGCTGTCTTAAATACCCCTCAACTCAAAAGTCCCTCGTTTCTTTTTAATACTTGTCAGCTGGTTACTTGCTCCAAGTTTTGACCTAGGGTTAACTTTATTAAACCCTGTGTACAGAAAGCTCTTGGATTAAAGGTGTGTGCTAGGGTTGAGCCACACCATTAACCACCTGTTTACAATAAACAGAAAGTTGTTGAATTAAAGGTATGAGTTAGGGCTGATCCACTCCACAACTAGAAATAGGTTTTTACAGTTCACAATCTCAAGGTTCACAATGGGATCAAAAATTCTTCAACAGTCTCAATTTTTATTTCTGAGTTTAGCTATTTGTATAGCCTCTACTTTTCCTTTACCTGGCCAAACGTTTTCAATCTTGTTGACATTTTTCCCTAGGAACAAACATTTGATTTCACTGATTCTATTTTTTAATGTTCTCTATTTCTCTTCTGTCTTCCACAATGTTCTTTTCTTCTTATAGCACTAGAGAATGTATTCCTGTTTTCCTAATTATTTAGGTATTAATTTTGTACTCTCTTTACCTCATATTTATGCTTTGAAGTCTTAAACCCCAAGTGACTATCTGAGGACAGGTTCATTTAGGTAATTAGGATAGACTGAGGTCATAGGATGGGACCTGCAAGGTAGGGTTGGAATCCTGATCAGAGAAGGAGATGACACCACAGAGGTCTCTTTGTGTACATGCACAGAGGGAAGCCTGAGTGAGCACACAGTGAAAAAGCAGCAAGCCAGGAGGGCATGCCTCCTCAGAAACCAACCCTAGCTCTGGATCGTGGACTTCCAGGACTGCAGAAAGTAAATTTCTGCAGTTTCTCACCCTTTCTGTGGTGTTTTGTTACGGCATCCTAATACACAAACACAATATGTGGAGTTAGGTATTGAGATTTTCTTCCTCTGTAACGAAGAGTTCTGTTTCTGTGAGGAGACCATGACCATGGCAACTCTTATAGAAAAAAGAAAACATTCAATTGGTGACTTGTATGGCAGCACACAGGCAGACATGGTGCTGGAGAAGTTTGATCCAGATCCAAAGGGAGTGAGCAAGAGACTAGGCCTGTGGGGTTTTGATACCTCAAAGTCCACCTCCAGTGACACACCTCCTGGAACAAGTACACACCTCCTCTAAGAAGGAAGGAGAGGCTTGTGCACTTGGGGTAAGTTTGAATTTGGTGGTGGGAGAAGACCTTGCTGTCTGAGGCCTTAGTTGCCAAGAAGGAGGTAGAAGTACTGAGAGTGGAAGGTGTTGGGGCTTCAAGCAGTTCCAGCAATGAGAAAGCCACTAAGGAAATGCTGCTAAGGGCACCTTTGCGGCTGGCCATCTGGAATCAGCAGTTGACATTTCTTTTTTTTTTTTTTTTTTTTGACATAAACATTTTTTAATTTTTATTTCTATTAATTACAGATTGTTCACTTTGTATCCCCCCTGTACCTCCCTCCCTTCTTCCCTCTCAATCCTCCCCTCCCTCTTCCCCACTGTGTCCCTCTCCCAGTCCACTAAAAAGAGAGGTCCTCCCACTTTTTAAAATCTTTTTTTTTTTTGCCATTGTTTAATATTCTTTTTAAAAATTCTTTATTAATTACACATTATTCACTTTATATCCCCCTGTGGTTCCCTCCTTCCTCCCATCCCAATCCCTCCCTTCCTCTCCCCTCTATACGCATGCCTCTCCCCAAGTCCACTGATAGGGGAGGTCCCCCTCTCCTTCCTTCTGATCCTAGTCAATTAGGTCTCATCAGGAATGGCTGCATTGTCTTCTTCTGTGGCCTGGTAATGCTGCTCCCTCCTCAGGGGGAGGTAATTAAAGAGCAGGCCAATCAGTTCATGTCTGAGACAGTCCCTGTTCCTATTACTATGGAACCCACTTGGATACTGAACTGCTATGGGCTACATCTGTGCAGGGGTCTTAGGTTATCTCCATGCCTGGTCCTTGGTTGGAGTATCAGTCTCAGGAAAGACCCCTGTGCTCATATTTTTTGGTTCTGTTGCTCTCCTTGTGGAGTTCCTGTCCTCTCCAGATCTTACTGTTTCCCACTTCTTTCATAAGATTCCCTGCACTCTGCCCAAAGGTTGGCCATAAGTCTCAGCATCTGCATTGATAGTCTGCAGGGCAGAACCTTTCAGAGGTCCTCTGTGTCAGGCTTCTGACTTGTTCCCTCTTTTCTCCTTCTGATATCCATCCTCTTTGCCTTTCTGGATAGGGATTGAGCATTTTAGCAAGAGTCCTCCCTCTTGATTAGTTTCTTTAGGTGTACAGATTTTAGTAGGTTTATCCTATATTATGTCTATATGAGTGAGCATATGCCGTGTGCGTCTTTCTGCTTCTGGGATAGCTCACTCAGGATGATCTTTTCCAGATTGGCACAGGAGACAACTTTCTGAACAGAACACCAACAGCACAGGCTCTAAGAGCAACAGTCAATGAATGGGACCTCATGAAACTGAAAAGCTTCTGTAAAGCAAAGGACACTGTCATCAAAACAAAATGCCTACAGATTGGGAAAGTTGACATTTCTTAAGTGACCTTGATAATGGGAAAGAAAAGCTTTCTATAATCCAATGAAATCAGCCACTGAAGGAAAAGATTTAAAGGTGATACTATTGGGCGAGCAAATGCTTCTTTTTTTCCCTATATTATGAGTCAAGGTGTTTATGTAGGGAATGATGGGAGAATTTGCAGAAAAGCTTTCTGGAAGATAGTTGAATGTTCTGTTTGTTTTTCCTTCAGGAATATCTGAGGCAGAATCAATCTGGGTTTGTGCTGAGAACTATAGTCCGCCTTGGGCTAGGTGGGCATCAAGAGACTCAACCTGCTGTTTCTCTTCTACTGCCAAGCTCATGCTCGTGTTTCAGTTTTCCCATTAAAATGCTCTATGCATGGTCAAATTTTCTTTCCTTTTCTAAAATCTCCATCTTGGCTCCCATGTTACAGGCAGGCCAGTAAACAATGCAACTGCACTTTCTTTGAAGTAGAACATTTTCTTGCAAATGATACACATCTGAAATGCACCTTAAGAATAGTAGGTTCTGAAGGGGACCTGATGGACTTGGATCTTGTTGCCAATAGTTTTGAGACAATTAGCTAAGGCAAAGGAGTGAGGCAGACATACGTAGAACATTACCGTTATTATTGATAAATCTGGTATCCAAAAATGTGGCTTAGAGCTGCAAATAAATTAGCTGTGTGGTACTGAATTCCAGAATAAGGCAGAATTACTCACCAGTTGCCAGAAGCACAGAAAATTGCAGGCCTCACATTATCTCTGGGAACATTTCATATAGGCAGGCAGAGCAGAACACAGATTTTATATTGGCAGCCAGCCCCCAAAAGCAAAGAAGAGGGAATAGAGCCATCTATTATCATTTTATCTCTCAAATTTATTGATAAATAAGTTACTCCTCCTTAGGGAAAAACAAGGAAGGGGCAGAGGGAGGCCCATGTACATGACCTCAGTGGCCATTGCTGGTTGTATTCCCGTGCTGGCTTCTAATTGATGTGGTTTCTAAATGGTGGAAAGCTTCAAGATTCCATCCTGAGAACTCTTACTCTTTCCCCTCCATCTCTCCTCCATCTCATGGCCCTCTTTACTGTTTCTGTTTTCTGTAGTAATCACCACTTTCTGCGAAAAACATGCTCAGTACTTTTTCTTCATTGTCCATAGGCAATGTCTGCAGAACAAATGTTTCTTGAAGCCAGGGTCTAGAATCGCTAGAGGAAGTTAATTACCCAAACCCTATTTCTTCCAGTAATAGCTCTAGGTTTATGAATTAGTTAAGTGGAGACATGTGGCTGTTTAAGCAGAGTCTGAAGACGTCAAAGAGTACAGACTTATTTCAAAGATAGCTTATACTTACCCCAATTCTCCCCCCCCCGTGTGTGTGTGTGTGTGTGTGTGTGTGTGTGTGTGTGCCTTTATCAATGGGTGCTTGTATGGGGGGAGAGGTGGTTGTGAGGATGACTTCCTCATCCCCTCCTTCATTTTATTTATTTGTTTTGAGACAAGAAACTCACTGAACTTGCTCATGGACCTCATGGTCTTGGCTGGACCATCTGACCAGGGAGATCCCTATATCTGCCTGTCTGTCCACCCTTCCCCAGCAGGAGGGCTACAGGCACATATGGCCACGCCTCACCTTTACTGGGTGCTGGCCACCTG